AAAAAAAAAAGCAGGGCGTGGTGGCACATGCCTATAGTTCTAGCTACTGGGAAGGCTGAGACAGAAAGACTACCTGAGCCCAGCAGGTCAAGGCTGCAGTAGTTGTGATCCTGCCACTGTATTCTAGCCCGGGCAATGAGTCTCTGATTCAAAAAAAGAACACACGAACACACATCATTTATAATCACTCCAAAAACATGACTTACATATACATCTAACGAAACAAAAACTACAAAAGCAAAGACCTACATAAAGACATAGTCACCCCTTGGTTTCTGCTGATGCTCAAGTTCCTGATAAAAATGGCACAGCATTTGTACGTAAGCTATGCACACCCTCCCATATACTTTAAATCACCTCTAGATTACTTAAAATACCTACTACAGTGTAAAAGCCATGTTGACAGTTGTTATGTTTTAAAAATCCGTATTACCGCACCGGGCTTGGTGGCTCAGCCTGTAATCCCACGCCTTTGGGAGGCTGAGGTGAGTGAATTGCCTGAGCCCGCGAGTTCGAGACCCGCCTGGGCAGCGAGACCTCATCTTTACAATAAATCAAAAAATCAGCCGGGCGTGGTGGCGCATGCCTGTAATTCCGGCTACTCGGAAGGCTGAGGCGGAAGGATCGCCGGAGCCCACCAGGCCGAGGCTGCGGTGGCCGGGAGCGGCCACTGCACTCCAGTCTGGGCGACAGAGTGAGACTTCAACTCAAAAAAAAAAAATCCGTATTACCGGCCAGATGCGGTGGCTCATGCCCTTTGGGAGCCCAGGGGTTCAAGACCAGCCTGGGCAACTTGGTGAGACCTTGTCTCTACAATAAATCAAAAAACTAGCTGGGCATGGTGGCACATGTCTGTAGCTCCAGCTACTTGGAAGGCTGAGGTGAAAGAATTGCCTGAGCCCAGCAGGTCAAGGCTGATGTTGCTGTGAACGTGCCACTGCACTCCAGTCTGGGTGACAGAGTGAGATTCCAACTCAAAAAGAAAATTTCATTATCACTTTTAATGAGGGCATTTTTGATGACTGTGGATGTGGAACATGTGGATACGGAGGCTGACTGTACAGTTTATAGAATGCAAAAGTCTGCATAGTAAAGATATTCAGTCTCCCCAAATTGACCCATAGGTTTAAACTCCTATAAAAATCCAAGTAAAGATTTTTTTTTTTTTTGAGTTGGAGTCTCACTCTGTTGCTCAGACTGGAGTGCAGTGGCCACTCCCGGCCACCGCAGCCTCGACCTGCTGGGTTCTGGCGATCCTTCCGCCTTAGCCTTCCAAGTAGCCAGAATTACAGGCATGTGCTACCATGCCCAGCTGATTTTTTGATTTATTGTAGAGATGAGGTCTAGCCTGCCCAGGCGGGTCTCGAACTCGCGGGTTCAGGCAATCCACTCACCTCAGCCTCCCAAAGGCGTGGGATTACAGGCTGAGCCACCGAGCCCGGCTAGGATTTTTTTTGTGGACACAGATAAGCTTTTTCAAAAATTCACACAGAAAGGCAAAAGAACAAGAAGACTTAAAACAATCTTTTATTCTTTTTTGAGTTGGAGCCTCACTCTGTCACCCAGGCTGGAGTGCAGTGGCATGGCTCATGGCCACCGCAGTCTCGACCTGCTAAGCTCAGATGATCCTTCTGCCTCATCCTTCCAGGTAGATGGAACTACAGACACGCAACACCACACCCAGGTAGTTTATTTTATTGTAGAGATGAGGTCTCGCCAAATTGCCCAGGCTGGTCTTGAACCCGTGGGCTCAGGCAATCCTCTTATCTCGGCCTCCCAAAAGTGCTGGGATTATAGGTGTGAGCTACCGTGCCAGCCAAAACAATCTTGAAAGATAAAGTAGGAGGACCCACTCACCTTCCAAGTTTATAATCTATTTTATAGCCACAGTAATCAAAAACATGTGGTAGGCTGGGCTCGGTGGCTCAGCCTGTAATCCTAGCACTTTGGGAGGCCAAGGCAAGTGGACTGCCTGAGCCCCTAGGTTTGAGACCCACCTGGGCAATTTGGTGAGACCTTGTCTCTACAATAATTCAAAAAATTAGCCGGGCGTGGTAGTGCACGCCTGTAATTCCAGCTACTTGGAAGGCTGAGGCAGAAGGATCACCGGAGCCCAGGAGGTTGAGGCTACAGTGGCCGGGAGCGTGCCACTGTACTCCAGTTTGGGCGACAGGGTGAGACGCCAACTCAAAAAAAAAAAAAAAAAAGAAAAAACGTGATTTGTGCAGGCAGACAACATAGAATAGGAAATCCATAAACAGAGCCACACACAATATGCCGACTTTTTACAGAAATGCAAAAGCAAGACAATGGGTGAAGCCCAGCCTTTCAACAATCGCTCTGGAGCAACTGACATCTAGTGGCAGAAACAAAAAATACCTCAAGTCACAAAGATCATGCAACTAAGTTCCTCCACTTGGAGAGGAACTCTTCAAATTATATCCTCAAAATGGATCATGAATGTCAATGTAAAAATTAAACTGTGACACTGTGAGGGAAAAAAAGCCCCACCAGAATAAATTTTCAGGACCTAGGGCTAGACAGAGCTTATTTATTTAGACTTGCCATCAAAACATGACCCATGAAAGGAAAACTTGATAAACTGAACTTCATCAAATTTAAAACTTACGCTCTGCAAGTCCTTAAGAGGGGGAGAAAATAAGCTAAAACCTGAGAGAAAATATCTGTAAATCATGTATTTGACAAAAGACTTGTAATAAGAATGTCAAATTCTCAAAATAAAAAAGCAAACAATGCAATTAAAACATGGGAAAAAACATAAGGCACTTCAACAAAGAGGAGACAGAAAATAAAAATCTATTATCAACTTATCAAAAAGAGATGAAAAGATATTCAACATCGCTAGTTTTTGGGGAAATGCAACTTAAAACCATGAGATACACCACTACACATCTACAAGAATTACTAAATTAAAAAAAATAGTTTGTGAGGATGTGGTAGGAACTAGATCCCTCATACCCTGCTGGCAGGAATATAAAATGGTACTCTATAACAGCTTGGTAGTTTCTAAAAACACATAAATTCAATACATAAATTCCCTATGACCTGGCCATTTTACTCCTAGCCCTGTTCATCCCAGAGGAATGAAAACTTACACACAAACCCAGACACAGATTTTTCTGGCTACTTTATCAGTAGTAGCTCCAAACCATAAACAGCCCAGATGTCTTCCAAAGGGTAAAAGAGTAATGAGTGTTACAGCTACACCATGGAATAGAGCGATATGGCTCTAGATGCAATAAAAAGGAATCAACAATTAGTATATGCAATCACTTCATGAGAATTCATTATGATTATGCCAAGTGAAGAAATCCAACTCCAAACAACCCCATCCTGTGATTCCCTTAAGCAGCATTCTTAGAATGACAAAATCATAGAAATGGAAAAGTCTTGTGGCTGCTGATTATGGACAAGGGAGAGGGGAGACCTTGGGTTCTTGTCTTTCCTTCTCCCCTCCCCTTTTTTTAATCCTTAGAAATTGTGAACAGCTTGACTTCTATTCACGTCAGCACTGGGGTGTGATCTTGCAACCCATTTTGCCATTGAGGGAGAGTCACTGGATTTTTTTCTCATAAATGTTCAGGAACCCCTCTCAAAATAAGTCAGGGGCGCCAAGAAACAAACAGGGTGAGCTTCTATTTCCTTAGAAACACACCAGACCCTCTCCGATGGTCCCTGCAGATCTGGCACTGCTCCCTTTAAGAACTACATTGCCGGCTGGGATTGGTGGCTCAGCCTGCAATCCCAGCACTTTGGGAGGCCAAGATGAGCCTGGGCAACTTGGCAAGACCTCATCTCTACAATAAATAAAATTAGCTGGGAACGGTAGTTCTCGCCTGTACTTCTTCTGGCTACTTGGAAGGCTGAGGTGGAAGGATCACCAGAACCCAGCTGGTCAACGCTTGGGTGGCCATGAGTGTGGCACTGCGCTCCAGACTGGGTGATGGACACTTCAATGCAAAAAAAAAAGGAACCCCCCAGGCACCTGTCCTTGCAGTCCCTTCAGACTCTTCACTTGAGGATTCCCTTTTCCCTCTCATTGGGTTAGAGACCAGTCGGCTGTGGTAACTGCCTGCCTGTGCAAATGACAATGACCATGCACAGCTGTACCTGCTCGATGGTTCCTAGTGCAGCTGGCACAATGCAGCCCAATGCATGAGTGAGTGGTGGATATTTCAAGCAGGGCAGTGACTAAACTTGTTTTCTGAGGAAATGGCCTAGGGTGGAGAGCCCAGGGGCCAGAGGGCAGCAGTCTCTCTCCTCTGCTCTAAGCTCCACCTCCACTGTTCCATCTTCTATTCCATATTGTCAGAGGTGACTCACAGTTCCCTGACTCTATTTTAATTAGGTTCTGCCAATGGGAATCTCTTAAGAGGCTGGAAAGTAGAAACCTGTTACTTTCTGGCATCCGGCAGCCCCTGCAACAGCAGCACAAGACTGGCGGGGCAGTAAAGGCAGTGAGAGCTGGCTTTCAGCCCTGTGGGATCTTCTCCTTTCCCAGAGCCTCCCAAGGGTCACCCAACTCTCACAACACCTGTCGCCACAGGCTATGGAGGGCCCTTCTGCTTCCTTAAGCTCGAGAGGACAAAGGGGAGGGAGCCTCCCAGGATATCTGTGATTGAGCAGCCACTGCCTGATCAGAACTCCCAGCCATGTACTCAACATCCAGTCAGCTTCTCGGGAAGTTCCTCTTGCTTGAATGTTCAGAATTCTAGGACTACACCTTGTCTGCTGGGGTTAATGCAGACCCCTATGCAACAGGTCATGCACACGAGACAAGAAGCCCCCTCCTCCTCCTCTGTGGGAAGCAGAAGCTGGGAGAAATGGGTAGTTGAGGACCCAGATCTGTCCCTATAGCCAACCTTCTTCCACTGGGGAATGGGTGGGGGAGTGCACAGGGCAGAGCGAAGAGAGCCAAGCCTGCCCTCCTCGACTGGTGGTGAGGGCCAGGAGTATGACAAAGTCTGGGGAGTCTCCTGGTGTCCAACACCAAAATTAAAAGATTTATTAACCACGAGAGGATGCTCTGTCCCTTAGAGGTGCTGGCCACCCTCCCCACTCTGGCCAAGGTCCTGCATTGAGGTTTGTCCTCAAGGGTGATACCTCAATGCCCACTCAATGCCCACATCTAGGCCTCCAGATGGACAGTCAGTCCCCTGAACATGTAGTCCATGCTGCTGGCACAGGTCACTTGGCTAGCTCCTCAGCCACTGCTTTCCGTATCTTGTCCTTGAGGTAGGCGCCCTTCTGCCATTCAGACTTGAGTTCCATCCACTCGTAGTATGGGACCTGGAGGGAGGCAGGAGAGATGGGTCACGTGGGCAGAGGGACCCCTTCTAGTTCCTGCCTGGCCAATGGCTCCTGCTCATTGCCTTCTCGCTGACCCCTTACCTGCCAGTGACCCATAGTTCTGCACACCTACCCCTCGACCTCCAAGTCCTCAAGGCAGAGCCCACAATGCTGCAAGCAGTATGGGCAGGGAGAAGCCCTGGCACTGTCGGTGCCAAAGGAGTGTTTGCAAACTACTTGTCTGTAAACTACAGGCCCAAGAAGGACTTCTAAACTGTAAAGGTTGTTAAAACACCCACAACTCAAAGAACAAATACGATGGAACCCTCGTGTGGCCCATGAAGCCATACATTTATTCTCTGGTCTGTGTCTGTAAAGGTGGCACCCTTTGGTCTCCCAGGCATGTGCCCAGAATCAGGTTCAGGACTTTCATCTTTCTATGCCTAGATCAGACCACAGCAAGGAGCTACACGCCAGTCACACTGGACCCTGGCGCCTTCCTGGTCCTACCTTTGCTGAGAACAGGCCCTGACCAAGGAGGCAGAACAGCAGGACCTATGACTCCACTGTGATGTTCAACAGCTGTGTGACCCTCCCAAGCTTCACATTCCTAATCTGTGAATGGGTCCAGCCCCGCTTTCTCCAAAGTTGAAAGAGCAGGGTGGTGGCCTCTCTGGGTTCATGGGGGCTAAGCACTAGCTCCTCTCAGAGGGTGGGCAGTAAGTAGGGGAGATCTGAGCAGTCAGAATCCCTGCGCTCCTGGCAGAGGAAGAGGGATCCACGGCTGGGAATCTGTCCATACCGTATGGCTCTAGCGTGGCTTTACTTCCACCTGATTCCCGCTCCAACACAGGTGGGGGCTTCTCTCTGTGCAGTGACCACTTGCCCACCAGGTACTCACGTCCACCACCAGGAAGCCTGCAGCCAGCACGTGTCGCCGGGCCAGGACGAAGCGACCCAGCAAGTCCTTGCTTCGGCTGTTGAAGTTGGGGAACTCCCACCGCAGGAAAGCTAGCCTGGCAGGAAGAAGGGAAGCTGACAAATACCCGTTCTCCCAGCTGCTCACAGGGGAAAGAGGGAAAGCAGGAGGGAACCAAGTGCATGCGGCCCAAGAGCTGCCATGGCCTTCACAGGGGCCACCATCAGCAGGTCCCTGGCCACCTACCTCTTAGCCCCTGGGGGCAGTGGCTGGTTCCCAGCTGACTGGGCAAGGTGAGGTGCCACAAAGTCTCTCAGGGGCAGAAACTGACCATCACTGTCCAGCACCACCTCAGCATCTGAGGAAGGGGTATGGGATGAGAGCACGTTGGGAGACGTCCCTCAGAGGTCACCCCACCCCCGTGGAAAGGATGGACAGAGATGGGAAGGCAAGCTGATGCTCTGTAGCTCTGTCAGTCCTGGCTGCAGGGGGCAGGGTTAGAAAAGTCCAGTTAGATTCTGGCAGAATCAGGCCCTATGCCAACTAGGGGGAGCCCTCACCCAGCACCCAGCCGTACTGTGTGGCCACTTCGAAGCTGCCCCTGTTGGCATTCCCCAGCAGCCCCTTCAGAGTCTCCTGCAGTTCCCTCTGCAGGGGGGTCGCCTTCTTGTCGAGGGCTGGGGGCCTGGGGACCATGGCCGAGGCTGGCAGAAAGGGACCTGAGTACTCAGGGTGCTCCAGCTGGGCGGTCGTGTTGATATGAAGCAGCTTCTGAAAGGTGCTCTGATCCTTCTGAGACTTGCCCTCTAGGAGATGAGGAGAGAGAACGAAGGGTAGGCCTAGGGCCAGAAGGACCAGAGATGGGAGACCCCAGGTGGGAAGGCAGCAGCAGCATCTCCACACCTAGCCTCAGCCCAGTTCTATGGGTCAGGAGGCAGCAGAGTTAAGGTCTACAGGCCGCCTGCAGGGAACGGGTGGAGGAGTGAAGGCGGGGTGAGCCATGTCTTCTCCCATCTCTGCTCTGATTTCTCATCTGGCTCCATGCAGACAGCGGGCAGCTCCCCAGCCACAGCAGGGCTGGCTGGAGGTGGGGTCCTTACCTAGAAACTGGGCATGAAACTCGGGGTGGAGGACGGCTTGCAGCTCTGCCTCCCGCGCCTGCTGCAGCACACACAGGGCCCACACCAGGTCCACCTGCAGGGCGGGATCCAGGCCAGCCAGCTTGGGCTCCAGCCTCTCGTGCACCTGGGCAAGGACAGGGTGTGGTGGAGAAAGCAGGCTCTGCCCAGGGGCTGCAAATAGCCACGGGCAGCCAGTAGTCCATGATGTGGTCTCGACCAGGTCACGCTGAGGTCAGAGGATGCAACTGGGAACAAGCAGAACCCCGGCTTTTAGTCGGGCCTAAAGCAAGCCTGGGCATGAAGGTACCAGGAACCTTCCTCATGCCCTAAATCTGCTCTGGATAGCAGGAAGAGTGTTGCCTGATGCTGGCATTTAACTAGGCTTATTTATGCCCAACCCACTGGTAGGGAACAAAATCTCTTCTCAATAATGTCCCCTAAGTGGGCACCTGAGACGAGAGAGGTATCTGTGTCCTTTGAAACAACCAGAGCATCCTAGCGGTAAAGCAGCACCCCGCCCACGCTGGCTGTTCTCAGGACTGCGTCAGATAAGCCCCTGATGGAGTTCCAGGGAGCCTGGGATCAACCATGGTCTGCCGGCCTCTGCAGATGTCTCAAGGCTCCCATAAAGATGCTGCCCCTACCACCCTGAGCTGGTGCACTTGGCATGAAGGCCTGAACACCCTCAAGCCTTCTCAGCAGTCTCTGCAGTGGACCACTGGGGCTTTGGAGCATCAACAAGGTATTAGAAAGAGCACTAGAAAATGAGATGCAGTAGGGACCAAAAGTAGGCCTAAACATTACCTGTACTCGTATACCTAATCCTGAATTATACCCACATCTTTACAATAAAGTAAATGTTTAAAAAAAGGAGATACGCCAGACTTGGTGGCTCAGCCTATAATCCTGCGCCTTTGGGAGGCTGAGGTGAGTGGACTGCCTGAGCCCGCGGGTTCGAAACCCGCCTGGGCAGGCGAGACCTCATCTCTACAATAAAAAAAAAAAAAAAAAATCAGCCGGGCGTGGTGGCGCATGCCTGTAATTCCGGCTACTCGGAAGGCTGAGGTGGAAGGATCGCCGGAGCCCAGCAGGTCGAGGCTGCGGTGGCCGGGAGCGGCCACTGCACTCCAGTCTGGGCGACAGAGTGAGACTCCAAATCAAAAAAAAAAAAAGGAGATACAGGGTCCCCAGCCCTGCCTGGTAGAGGAGTCAGCCAGATGACAGAATTTCCTGTTTTGCCCTCAAATGATCTCTGGGATGCCTGGCTCCAGCCACTCTCCTGCCCTCCCATGCCAGGGCCCTTTCTCTTCCTGCCTTTGCATGGGGGAAGGATGGCTCATCAGCCATGAGCTGGCATGGGAGAGGGTATGCGATAAGCAGTGGGAGCCCAAAGACTGTACCAGGCTGAAGAACTGATCCTCTTGTTCTGGATGGAAGTTCAGACGGGCAAAAGCCAGAAGCAAGCTGCACAGGTGGGGCAGGACGACATCTTGGGCTCTGTTCAGGATGTGCTGGGTAAGTCAGAGATGGCAGAGGGATATGGTGATCTTTCTGCCCAGCATGCTGTCTTCCTACCCGGCTATCAGTCTAAGGAGAGCCTGGGTGGTCAGGGCCAACTGTAGGACCCTCCACTCAAGGCCCATGAGATGCTTGCCACACAGGGTGACTTACACAGGGCCAGACCCTTTTTCACCTAGCAGCAACTACCCAAGAGGACAGAGGACACCTAGAGACTGCCTCCTTCTGAGAATGGCTTTAGAAATATTCTCCTAGGCCGGACACAGTGGCTCACACCAATTCCAGCATTTTGGGAGGCCGAACCAGCCTGGATAACTTGGCGAGACCTCATCTCTAAAACACATCAAAAATTTGGTGGGCATAGTGGCCTGTGCTTGTAGTTCCAGCTACTTGGAAGGCTGAGACAGAAGGGTCACCTGAGCCCAGCAGGTTGAGGCTGTGGTGGGCATGAGCGTGCCACTGCACTCCAGCCTGGGTGACAGAGTGAGACAACAACTCAAAAAACAAAAAGAAATATTCTCCAACCAGTGAAGTTTAGACCAGTCACATGTAAATTTAAGTGCAGGTATTATTTTTCTTTCTTTATACTTCCACTTTTGGGCAGTCAGCAGCTCAAGAGACCGTTCTGAGTGGATTCTCAGCTGCTGCCTGCTACAGATACCCCAAAGCAGATGGAAACACTTGTGACAGTCAGTGAAAAAACAGAGTGGTTCTCAAAAATGTCTTCTCCATCACTAAACAATACCTCTCTCCAAATAAGTCAAGAAAAACTATGTATCTGCCACCCACGTGAGCATCTTTAGATAGGTTTTGCTTCCCTGATTAAAGCAATGGTTCCCAACAGATGTCCAGGGAATCAGTTTTTCTGAGTTGGGGCAGCCCTGCTCACCTGGGTAAAGGCCTCAAACAGGGGCAGGCTGAGCCACTTGAGGAAGGCGAAGGACTTAGCACAGCGGGCCACCTCACTGGGAGTCAGGCTGGGCATGAGGGACAGCACATCAGCGGCCAGGCGCTGGAACACTTGGGTCTGGTGAAAGTTGAGCTTGCCTTTGGGACAGAGCAGACCACGGGGCTTAGCTGGTGAGGGTCAGCGATGGCTTACTGGCCCTACCAGCCTTGAGGTCCACTGGCTTGATGTCTGTAACCAAATTTATCCCTGAGCCTGGGATACAGGAACAGGGCCCATGAGTCACAATGTTTCTGTGGCAGCCTTCTGGGCCAGTGCCCACCACAGGGAAGGCAGGTACTGAATTTGACACAGCTGCAGGCATGTGCGTGGCCAGAGTTCCCCCTCCCTCCACTGCTCTGCCCAAAGGCTCACCATAGGCATAGGCCAGGTCCAAGAGCATGCCTTTTGTCAGAGGGAAGGGCTTCTGCACCAGGTGGTAGGAGATGGCCCGCAGCAAGGGCACGGACCGCCGGCTCTGAGCTGCCAGCGTCACCAGCACCTTCCGCAACTCTTCAGGGCCAAACTGTTCCACCAGCTCCAGGCACTGTCAACCACATCCGCGCAGGGGTCAGCTCAATGGCCTGAGGTGGCAGGGACGAGCTGGGGGCAGGGGTCCCATCCAGTGCAGCCCCTGTGAGACAGCAACTGGGCCTGAGCTGACTAAACACAGGCCAGTCTGCACAGGGCCTGCCTCCTTGCCCACCTCGGGGAACCCCAGGACCGGAGCATAATGTCCACAGCCAAACTTATCCCCAGGTCCCAGAGTAGGGGACTCAGGGCCCATGAACTGTGGCGCTTGCTGTGGCAGCCATCTGGGCCAGTGCCCGCTATGACAGAAGCGGGGGCTGAATTTGACTTGACTGCACAGTGAAAGCCAAGGGTGGGAGTAACACATCCCTAGTGAAGTTCTAGCCAGAGGCTGGAACATGTGGGGCCGCCTGCCACACCCACCTCTCAAGCCCATGCCCATGATAGGATTCTGGAGAAAGACAAAGGTATACCCAGGGAAGTGCTTGTATTGAGGAACAAGTGGGTGAGCATTGTTTGATTAACATGGGCACAGATGACCACCTGCTGCTGCTCAGAGCCCTCTGGTCCCTCCCCGTGTGACACCTGAAATTCTGGACAGAAGTTTCCAGGGCTCCAGTCCCAGTACACAGTAATCCCCTCCCTAGCGGAGACCCAAAGCCCAGGGGGAGTCTGGCCAGGTGAAACCGTTCTTAGGCCCAGTACCTTGTCTTCTAGGCGGTTCATGAGCGACTCTGAGAGGTGCCCCACCTTCATCATAATGGCCACCACCGTGCGGCCATCTTCAATTTCTGTCCAGCGCCTCTCCAGGTGCACGAGCAGTTCAGCCAGGAGTTCCTGGGAGTGCCGCTCCTGCATGGAGGCGGCACAGGACTCTGCCAGGAAGGCCAAGTGTTTGTACCTGAGCCTCCGCATGCGCCAGCGCACCTCCTGCTCCACTGACTGCAGCTCCCTGGAGGCCTCGGGGAGCTGCAGAGCATAGACGCTTCGTAGCAGCTTCACGAGGGTGCCGTGCCAGACTGTGGTGATCTAGGCAGGAGAAGAGCACAGGTGAGGTGACATGTGGCACCACTGATCTGAATGTGAGCTGGAAACCACACCTGTGAAACTCGCTTCACGGGCATTTGCTACAACTCTTCAGAAAAGACAGCTCCCCATCCTGTTCCAACAGGCCTGGCGCCTGACTGCTCCTCACAGCCTTGCTCAGAGCCTGTGAGCAGCCTCAGTCAGTTGTGAGGTCTAGAGGCTTGGTGTCTGTAACCAAACTTATCACTGAGCGTGAGACACAGGAACAGGGCCCATGAGTCACACTGTTTCTGTGGCAGCCTTCTGGGCCAGTGCCTACCACAGGCAGGGCAGGCACTGAATTTGACACAGCTGCAGGCATGTGCATGGCCAGAGCACCTGTCAGGCACAGGCTGGGTCCAAGAGCACACCTCTGAGCCTAGTCCTCCAGTCACCAAGAAATAGTATTTCTGCTCAAGGTGGCCAGGGTCATTTGCTATCTTGTGCAAGCAAGAACTCTGAGTGGTAAGAGAAATTCCCCGAGCTTTCCTAATGATGCTTTGGCTTGATGTGCCTGATTAAATGGAGACCAGGTCCTGCATCATGTGGTAGGCACACAGACCAGAGCTGTAAGTAAAGCTGTCAAGAACGCAGGTCACAGAAAGAGAGGGACCACATCTGAGGGATGTAGCCTGGTGGTAAGGAAGGCAGCACTGTGGATTGTTAAGGTCAGTTTTGTCACCCAATCATTACTTTTATTTGCAATGATGCTCCTTTTTTTTTTTTTTAAAAGCTATTATAAACATTGACTCTTGGCTGGGAGTGATGACTCATGCCTGTAATTCCAGCACTTTGGGAGGCTGAGGTGGGAGGATTGCTTGAATCCAGGAGATCAAGACAGCCTGGGCAACATGGTGAGATACCATCTCTCTGCAAAAAAAAAAAAAAAATTTTTGCCAATTGTGCCACTGCACTCCAACCTGGGTGACAGAGTAAGACACTAACTTAAAACAAAATCATGACCACTTGTATACCTAATCCTGAATTGTACTCCACATCTTTAAAATAAAAAATAGGGCCGGGTGCAGTGGTTCAAGCCTGTAATCACAGCACTTTGGGAGGCCGAGGTGAGAGGATTGCCTAAACCCTCAGGTTCGAGACCAGCCTGGGCAACTTGGTGAGACTTCATCTCTACAATAAATCAAAAAATTAGCCAGGTGTGGTAGCACACACCTGTAGTTCCAGCTACTTGGAAGGCTGAGGCGGAAGGACTGCCTGAGCCCAGGTCAAGGCTGAGATGGCCAGGAGCGTGCCACTGCCCTCCTACCTGGGTGATAAGAGTGAGACTCCTACTCAAAAAAAATAAAATAAAAAACAAAAACAAACAAACAAAAAAAAATTAAAAAAAAACACTGACTCTTCTCCAGTAAAATAACCATTATTTTGAATCTGAGAACCTCCAATCTGTAAACTTTTCTCCTACAAAATGATCCTAGCAACTTCTGGTGATGTTTCTTAGGAACTCAAGTGCTGTAATGAGCAGAAGTCCCTGCAGAACAAGTGCAGGACTCAAGTGATCTACCACCCTCCAGAGACATGCCACCCAAGCATGCCAGCCCCAAGACTGCCTGTAGAGCAGGTGATTGCTATGCACGAATGTCTTCAGGAAAACCTCTGACAGGTGGCTAAAAAGACTCCCCTGATCACTAAGCCCGGCCAGCCCCTAAATGCTGAGACCTCCTGGGGATGATCAAGCTGCTGCCAGTACCAGCAGCACGCCTGAACAGGTTATTACTAAATGCTAGGTAACTCCCTATGTGTACACCCCTCGGAGACACCAACATCCTGTGAGGTGTCATTAGCCCTGATGCACACATAAACAAAGGCAAACTTATTTCCCCAAAGTCTCAGAGTAGCTCTGGGTCCAGAACTTGCACCCCAGACCCACCTTCTCACTGGCGCCTGCATCACTGCTGAAAAGGCTGACTCTGCTAGGCAGGGAGAGGGTCTCCAGGTCTTGGCAGATATGGGGCCTGCGATGTCAACATGGGTGGCTAGAAAACCTTCTGACCCAGACTCCACCCTCATAAAGACACAATGGGTAACACAAGTACCGCTCTGTCATTTACCCTGCCGAATCTCTCAATACTGAACCCCATCCCCAGCCTCAGACTCCCCAACTATAAGTGGGGAACAGAAACCACATATATAAGAAGGTGAGCTGGAAACAGAAAGCTGCTGTCTGAAGAGTCTATGAGAAGGTACCAGAGTCAATTCTAGTTTCACATGAAGCCTGGGTGTCTGCATCTTTCTGGTTTCAAGGACAATAGAAAAACCTTTTATTTTTTTTTGAGTTGGAGTCTCACTCTGTCGCCCACACTGGAGTGCAGTGGCCGCTCCCGGCCACCGCAGTTTCGACCTGCTGGGCTTCGGCGATCCTTCTGCCTCAGCCTTCCAAGTAGCCAGAATTACAGGCATGCGCTACCACGGCTGGCTGATTTTTT